GGTAGACTGCCAAGGCCAACATGGCCAGGAGCATCAGCTCCACGGCGGTGAGCACCAGCTCAGGACGTTGTAGCAGGGGACGCGCGGTCACTTCACTGCTGGGGGACACGGGGGACACCGGGGGTATCGGCATTGACGCACCGATAGTCGCAATGATCAGGATGACAAGGATGGCAGCCATTTCGTTCAGTATGCAGCTAGTCGCTAGGAATGGGGAATTCAACTGTGGGACTTTGAGTTTGTACATTGTTGAGCTCCATGGTTGCTCTCTCATTTAGGGGATAAAACATTGGAATTTAAATACTTATTTTAAAAGTATAATAACAAAATACACTAATAGACAAAACTTAAGGAAGTTGTACCTTTCAGCATGTATATCGGGATTCAGACAATAACTCTGAAATATATTTGATACGCAGTGACCTTTATTGAAGACACACGAGATAACCAAATGTGAACAAAATTGCCTGTTTCCTAAAAAAAAAAAAATAGACCACCTGCGACATCAATATATTTTCATTTCCTTAAAACAATTTAATTATTAAGTAAATGATTCAAATTATTTGAATTTTATATTAAAACGATAGACTTATTATTTCATTTTATTTGTTATCTATATATGTTTATATATTGTTTTATACAATTACTTTATATTTTTTTAAAAACGAAGTACAATACTTAAGTTTTGTTCCATGAGTGTATATCTTATTGCACATCTTTTAGATACTCTTTTAACTAGGGGAGATTCCTAACTCTTCCATTTAAGCTGATAAAATATGCATGCTGCTAAGATGAACTTACTGATGTATATAGTTCATGGTAAACGGTTTGCGGATTTCGACAAATTAGAAAGAGGGAATCATATATCGCCGCAACTCTTTTTTATTAACGCGATTAAGGAAGCTTTCGGGCAAGCCCTTCTTCAGCTAACTATAGTGTACAAACAAGGAGAGATTATATATCGTTTTTAATATAAAATAAAATAAAATAAAAGAAAATTATTGAAACGAGGGCGATAGGGGCGTGGTAATTTTCTTTTATTTTATTTTATATTAAAAACGATATATAATCTCTTCTTGTTTGTACACTATAGTTAGCTGAAGAAGGGCTTGCCCGAAAGCTTCCTTAATCGCGTTAATAAAAAAGAGTTGCGGCGATATATGATTCCCTCTTTCTGATGTATATAGTTGTTTAATTGTTTTGAATAATATTTCATTTATAAATTAATATCATGATTTAGTCTGTGAAAATAAAAATATTGGACTGGTGACCAAACAAACTGTAAATACATGGCTTAATGTTATATAGTTATGATATATACGAGGGGCATCCAATAAATAAGTTTCCCTTTTTTTTTTTCGGCGAACGAAACGTTGTAAAAATTAGTTAGTAGTGTAAGAAATGGTCACTAGGATGCGTTGGAAGCGCGTGACCTTCAAAATCACGCTACTCGTACGCGCAAGTCCGTAGCGCTTCAGTTTCCATGGAGCTACCACTGGTGAACTTGTCCACTTGCGAACTCCGGTCTGTAATTCGTTTTTTTCACGGCGAAAAATCAAACTGCGGTCAATATTCATCGCAATTTAGTGTCAGTGTATGATTAAGGATGTATGAGCATCCAAATGGTTCGCCGATGGCGTTCATGGTTCTTGGAAGGACGGCAAAACGTGCATGATGACGAGCGAAGCGGCAGGCCCGTTACTGCTACGGACAATGCAGCCGGTGCTGCTGTTCGGAATGTGGTGGAAGCAGATCGCCGCGTCACCATTGACGAAATAATGATTCGACTGCCTCCTGGAATCGAAATTGGACGCTCTTCGATTGGAACAATCATGTCAGATGTTTGAATTTTCGCAAATTCTGCGCAAGATGGGTCCCGCGTTTGCTCTCGGAAAATCACAAGCAACAACGGATGGAGGCAGCCCGAGCTTTCCTGGAAATGCATCGAAGAGATGGAGATCAACTGTTTTCCCGTATTGGCACTGGAGATGAAAGCTGGGTGCATCATTCAACTCCAGAAACAAAACGACAAAGCACGGTGTGGAAGAAGCCTGAGGAAAGTGCACCAAAAAAGGCGAAGGTCACAATCTCCGCAGGCAAAGTTATGGCTATCGTCTTTTGGGACTGTAAGGGTGTTTTATTGGTTGACTACCTGCCCCCAAACACTACGGTTAACGCTGCGAAGTC